GTGTGCGTGTTCTTTAGATCCTCAGATGGCTCTAGCACTTTCGTGACCACGGGCTGAGAGTCTTTGCTAGATTTTGGGATTTAGAAACTGACATACGGTTTAATGTGAAGAAAACAACAACAACAACATTGAATACAGTGTATCTCTAAGTTATTGCATTGATGATGCGATACAGTTGTTTCTCCGCCTTTTCGTTGCGGAGATCGCAAAACGATTGCCAGGTGATGAATACGGACACGGTGAAGTCTGACAGTCATGATGGGTTGGACAGCAGGGCTAGCAAAAAGAGCTCGATTCATCTTTGCTTCTCTACCCTTCACCTCTCACTTACGGCGGTGGTGCTGTGTGCGTGTTTTCCCGCAAGAGGTCAAGCACACAGCTCTATCGACATAAAACCCCGGGTTGCTGCTGTGTGTGCTCCCGGCGGCGGAGGAAAGGAATCCTGGTGTCTGGAACCGAGAAAGAGGAACGGCAAGACGTAGGGAAAGAACGCCAGTGACAACGGCAGCACACCCTGTCATAACGTTGTCAATAGCGGGTTGATGCTTGATTGGAGAGATCGAAGGCTCAAACGGGACGAGTGGTAGCAGACATCTCAGTAGCACGGCTGCAGCCAAGCGGAGGAACGGGTGCGGTTTTGGGCAGGCCCGAAGCGCTGAGGCAGTGCGCGCCATTCCGCCGCCAAAATGATGGTGGTGATGGTGGGGAGACGCCTCTCGTCGATTTTCCTTTGCTGCTGCTGTGCGCTGAGTCTGTGGAGCCATGGAGTGTTCGGAATCTCCTACCACGTACGCAGCTGCAAAGACTTCCTGAGTCTGCCCACGCCGATGCAAGACGATACGCACGTAATTGTTCTCGAGAACATCGCCTGCAAGCTGGTGAGTGTGTGACGCGCATGAATGGGTGTTGTCGTACCCTCTACCCTCGCTCGATCTTGACAGTCAATACTGCTGTTGTTCGGCCTTTATTTTAGCACAAGAAGGGTCTCTGAGGCTGCCGCTGTTGTTCCGTGTTCTATTCATACGATCTACCGTTCGACATACCCATCATTTAAATGCGCTTGGGGCGCGCCTCCGCTCCTACCCATAGCTAGCTGTGTCGTGTGTTCGTATGCAACACCTACACATGTCTTTCCCTTTGCATCAAATACATTGTCATCGGTGTCCACACCACGCGAACTTATCTCCGCCGTCCCAAACAGCGAGTGTCCTCTCAGTTTTCGATATTATTTTTTTCCCGCTCTTCGCGAAGAAAGCAAGCACACACGCCCGGTCCGTGTTGTTTGCCGGCGCACTCTATCTGAAATAGAAATCTTTCTAGAAAAGCAGAAAAGTTGAGCCTGTTCACCACGGGGAGATATCGTCGTATTATGTATGCTGTCTGGAACCCCGTAGACATACAGGTAGCCTTTCGCTCACGCTATGGATTCATTGGTAATCTATCTTAGACTTACTTCTGTAGACGTATAGTCCATGGTTAAAAGAAGAGAACGTGTTTCTATCTCTTCTGTGTCCTTTTTTTTTTCTCCCATCATTGGACTCTGTCGTCTGCCCCTCAGGCCCCTATCCTCCCCTTCTACTAGCTAGACGACCCAACTGGGGTCAGACAGGAGGGGGGGTTGGACCCCCTCCTGCGGTTCCTGCCTGAGATATTATTATCGCGAGAAGGTTATAGCAATCCCTTCCCTCGCGACTTACGAAGTCGATTATGTTCTGCTAACAACGAACTCTGCAGGCGTCCCTTTCATCTATAGACCAGGATTTAATTAGCGAGGAAAAACTCAATCTGCCGGGACTCGAACCCATGACCTGGCCCTTAGCAGGCTGCGAGGGTACCCACCAGACCACCGGGGCGACCGGTACGGTACAGAGTAGGTGGTGTTTACCGTTCTGCTTCACCGCATTGTTTCTGGTCTGGCTCTCGCTTGTAGCTACTGCTGCTGCTGCAGTAGCGTGTATGCTGTAGTAGTGTACACAACTGCTTGCTTCAGTTTGATCTCGAACGGGTTGCAGCGTGTTGGGACGTTCTTGCCGAGAAGCCACCAACAATGCTACGTAGGATAGATATCATCAGGTCTGGGACCGCTCACGCTTGCTGCCTTGACAGCAGTGCCTTGATACAAGCGCGTTACACCTACAAAGTGAGATTACCAGGCATGGCAATGTCCTTGTGTATTGTCGTATTCATATTGCTGTGGTTTTATGACGACGTTGTATGGTCAATGCGGAGAATATTTTTTCAACCAAAATCCCACGTACTCCGCCGGTTGTACTACAGCTGTTTTCACGCGGGCGTGGAGGGGTCTAGATGCATGGGATGTGCATATGGCACGAGGCACGCCCGCCGTTTTACCCGTTCCAGCAAGTAGCACGACAAGAAAAATTTCCATTTCCTTGGACATACTTTTTCCTGTATTGTCTACCCGCTGTTGTTAACGTCTGCTACTGACGTACCTCAGTCATGTACACTCCAGTGCTACAGCGTAAGTACCTTGAACTGCTTTCGACAAGTCCGTCCATCCACGATGTGTTTCTGTTGCCTCGTTTTTGTCCGCGAGCGTTTGTATACTAAATACTACTCCGTTATCCTACCTGGAATCGAAAACCCCTTCAGTAGCAACAGCACCAGGTATTCACATCCCACTTATTCAAAACCGTCAGGATACCTTCCCACTCTGCCAGTCTCCAACGAATGTACACATGTACATGCCAGCTACACGACACCTTCAGGATACCCTCCCACTCTTCCACAGAGGCCAAGAATCATTCGTGGCATATTAAATTAGCTTCGTATGTAGCATCAGCTAATCCGTCCAGCCAGTCACCATCGCGTCGTCGCCCCCGGTGTTTTCCTCGCCCAATCAGCCGCGAGGTGTCATCGTGTCTGGACCGTACGCGTTTCTCGTGTCCTCGGAGTTGGCGAGCCTAACCTTCGAGAATCTTCGATTCAGCATTAAGGACGGTGCGGACTTTTTCTTGAACCTTTCCTCGGACGAGTACCAGGGAACCGTCGCCTTCGTCGGCACGAGCCCACAGGTGCGTTGCTTCGACCCAGTAGCCTTGACAGGGGTTTGTGTATTGAGTACAAACATGGTGGAGAACGCATGCAATGGGGGAAGGTAGGTTTCGGGGTTGTTGTTGTTTTATTCTTCACGTTAAACTCGTGTCAGGTGATAATCCCAAAATCTAGCAAATACTTGGTCCGTGGTCACAAAAATGCTGGAGCCATCAGAAGATCTAAAGAACACACACACTAGTAGGAAGAAAAGGGTACACAAGCCCGAGGAGGTACACCTACAATCCCTGCAGCACGTTTGCGGTAACCATAATGGTGGTCGAGTAGACATGTTGTGCGGGGTCGAGAACCCTCACTCCGCGCAAGGGGGATGATCGCACCACGTTGTTTTCATTTGGTCAAGCACCCTCGAGGCAGTTACACAGTGCTTACAACTGTCTCTGGAAGTGAAAGCACCAGAAAGTAAATTAAGTCATACGCAGCTGTCATCTGTACGCAAGGAAGTAAGCACAAGATGCCGAACACCCTTGGCAGGATGCAGCACAACCTTCATGCGACTCGCCGAATATCTCACGGCGCTTCGCGCTTGGTGATGTGAGGGCCTGGTCCGGTGAGGACCCGGCGTGCTCCGTCCCGGCTTTGTAGAGATGCGAGGTCAATGGTCTAACGACTACGGCATGCACGACTATGAGTACATTCCCCCCCCCCTCGCTATTGGTCATGCCTACGCAAAACGTTGTCGAGGCAGCGAGGGGAAGAATGCTGTAGGGTCTGCGGCAAAAGATGTTGGATATAGAGTGCGATCAGGGGGGGTTGGGTTGGGGATAGGTTCTGCGTACCCCCTCCCTGCTCCGTATCCTCTAGGCCTTTCCCCATGGTGCTTTTTTTTTATTTATGCCCTTTTTTTGTCATGAGCATATGCGTTCTTGTTTTTCTCCTGCCCGTACTAATGCTCCTTTTCTGAGGGAGATTATGCTTCAAATGTCTTTTTATGCTCCCGATTATGCTTTTTGCATATGATTAGGGTTAGGGATATTGGGGTTAGGTTTAGGTCCCACGCGTTTTTTTTACCGGTATAGTGCCGGTTGAATAGTGCCAAAGTCCGGTATAGCGCCGGTAAATTTTCGTGACAGACAGGCCTGAATAGTGCCAAATCGGCACTATTGAGGGCCGCTCGCTATAGTGCCGGTTCAGGCACTATGTAACCCCTCAATAGTGCTGGTTCACACCCCACACACAGCCTTTTTCGCCTTAAGCTCTACACGCCAACAGGGTTCGGAGACGATTTCCCGTCGAGCTACAAGTATAGCTCGGTTTCGCTCGGCACGCGTTACGTCTTCAAATGTCACGGTTTACCGATCGACCAGGTTCCACCAATAGGCTGGGATTTCAGTAGTGAGGCGAGCGAAAGGAAAATGGTGGTACATCGTGACGCAGGATATGGAAAATATAGCCAAGGATAGCAGTGATGATGCAGCAGGAAAATACGGCGTTGAGGGGAACAACAAGAGTTTCGAGCGAGATGTCCTTCCGCACAACAAACGCCGCGGGGGCGCATCTAGAGATGAAAGCCCGAGAAATAGTGGAGAAGTATTAGTTAAGAGTGTAGTGGTGGTAAATAAAATACTTTATTTATAGAAGGATGAAAACACTCCGAAATGAACGCGTGTTCAAAGTAGGAAGCCTTGGCAGTCACTCACGTAGTTCTCCTCTCTGTGTTGCTCCCATTTCCGTCTTTTATCCAGAGAATAGCTCAGCCTCCTACATAGCACCCTCTCACGGCCTTGAGAAACAAATATTTTCTGTTTTTGACCGCACTGAGACTGAGGTCTTTTGGTTGGCCAGTCGTTTTTCTTGCTTCTGAAGGCTTGGTCTTCTCTCTATCTTTTCATCGAAGGAACAGGGGAGTTCGTTATCTTCTTCACCCCTCTTTTAGGGTGCATCTCCTTTTGTGTGCTCATGTAAGGAGCACTACATCCATCCATGTTTTACCTCCAAATGTACATCGGGTGCGTGCATGAGACTTTCTTTCGCTGTCGAGGAATGCCTTTGAGGTTGCGTGAATAGTGCTGCTACGGCCTTCTTGCAATACAACACATGTTAATATGATAGCGAGGTGAACTTTGATCGGGCAGCACGGTCTACGGCTGAAAGGCAGCAGCAACTTTTCACTGGCGAGTGCTTGCCCTGAGGTGGGAAGAGAACAATTACTTGTGCAACAAATCTATCTGGTCAATCAAGATAATTTTGATACGATCAATGCCGTGTTTTCGACAGTCCAAGAGCCTCAAGAAACTTAATGAAGCCCGCCCACGTCGCCCACCTCACGATTGATCCAAATGCCGTTCGTTTGGTACTCTGTCAGCCCCGCAAAGTGCAAGCGCTGCACTCTGAAGTCGAACATTCCTGACTCGTGCCAAGCCGGCACTATAGAGGAAGTTTCAGGCCCTGAATAGTGCCGGTTTGGCACTATTCAGGCACAATTCTGAAAAGTGCCGGTGCCCGGTATAGTGCCGGCCAAATCGCCTGGGCACATATCTACACCGGTCGCCCCGGTGGTCTAGTGGGTAACCTCGCAGCCTTCTAAGGGCCAGGTCACGGGTTAGAGTTCCGGCAGAGTGAGTTTTCTCACTAAATAAATTATGGTCTAGGATGAAAGCGACGCGCTGCAAAGCTCGTTGTTGGTAGTAAACCATAATCGACTTAGTAAGTTGCGAGGGAAGGTAATTGCTTTACCCTTCTCGATAAAAATATTTCTGGCAGGAACCGCAGGAGGGAGTCCTGCCCCCCCCTCCTTTGTGACCCCGGTTGGGTCGTCTAGCTAGTAGAAGGGGAGGATAGGGGCCAGAGAGGAAGACGACAGAGTCCAATGATGGGAGAAAATATATATATATATATATCGGCACTATATCGGGACACCTACTGTATACATTTTTTTTTTTTTAAATCAATTAGGGTAAGGGTTGGTGTTAGTCAAAGCAGCTCCAAATATAAGCCATGAGCGATTGATTCAACCCTGGAGAGCTAGCAGCGAGCCTGGAATGACGTCTTGTCGATCATATCTATACATATATATGGTCTATGTATATTTATTTATTTTTTTCTCATCATTGGACTCTGTCGTCTGTCCCTCTGGCCCCTATCCTCCACTTCTACCAGCTAGACGATCCAACCGGGGTCGCATAGGAAGGGGGGGTTGGACCCCCTCCTGCGCATATGTCGAGTCCTGAAGCGTCCAGTGGACGAATATGCTTGAACTGTGGACACATATGCCCCTTTCTGCTACGATATGCCCCAGCATAGTGCTCTTTCTGGAATATGCGCTTGCTTATGCCCCTACAGTCCAATAATGCCAACAGTTATGCCCGCATAATGGGGAAGGGCCTAGTATCCTCATCAAGTCGATAAGGCGGTCCTGGTGCGACGAGTTTTTTTTTTAGAGCGCCTTGCGCGTTGATTGACCACCAGCATCGTGTCGGCCACGACGTTTTCTGTCGGCAAAAACGAGAAAACAAAGATGACAACGAAGGGTGACCAGAACGGCTCGACAAAACAGGCGTTCTTCCCCACCCGTTGTTAAGACTTCCGACGCCTCCCCTCCTTCGACTGCTGTGAAACTTGCTGTCTCGAACGGATGGTCTGCCACATGGACGATCGTTAGCAGCGAACAACCCACATGACGCCAGAGGCATAACCGCCCTGTCTTTATCTTACGCAGCATGCTTGCTGCTTCCCCCTCCGCCTCTTGTGGGGCATTCTTAAGCCTGCGCACTTCGCCACAATCCTCCCACGAAGAAAACACGCTCAGACGCTCAACCGCAACAACCCACACCAACACCCGAACAGCAATCGCACGGAGGAACTTTCAAGATCGAGCTCGGGGCGAGCGTGACCTTCGGGGCCCCCGTGATCTTCAGGGGGAGCTCCGTGGTTGCGGGCAAGCGGGGAGGGGGTGAGCTCATTTTTTTTTTTCTTGTTGTTCTGAGTGTTGAGGCGAGGTGATGATGAACAAATGAGCTGGATGGAACTATTAATAGTGATTTTTGTTTTGGTCGTACGCATGTCCGACGGCTTTGATGTGGCATACCTCCGCTGGATGATGGTGCTTTGCTTGTTTCTTGGTACAGTAGAGATCTTTATCGTTTATATTACTCGTGTGGTCGGGGTGTGTAGCTGTTCCATGATGAACAATGATGTCGGTGTTGGTGTTTATCTTCTTTCCTACGCGTCCAAGGCTTTAGATTTGACGTGTATCCACTGGATGGTCTTTGCTGCCGCTTGGCAGTGAGCTTGGTCGTCAACTTTGTTGATGTGGTCAGGGAGTAGAGCTGCTAAGCACGTTTGCTGCGCGTGCGACGTTCAGAGGTGGCACGCGTAGGTTAGCTCGTGTTTGCTGCTCCTGCTACTGCTGTGATGAAGTAGCTTGCAGGATGTCGTCGTAACCCTCACTTTTGTCAATCGTCTACGCTCCGCAGCGATTTACAACAACGGGTACCTTACGTTTGAGCACTCGGCGAAGTTCGCGAATTGCAGCGTGCTGAGCGAGGACGGCGAGGCGCCAACAACCCCAACCCTCAAGCCCGGTGTCGGTTTCGACGACGCTTTCGGGTTCCCAGGCACTGCTGCGGCTCGCGCGGCTGCCGCGGTCTCGACGAACGTAGAGTTGGCGCATCCGGTACCCCACTGGGGCTGTGGAGGTGCGCGTGTACATCATCGGCGATTGTTCACTCGTTGTTGTCTTTGTTGTTGTCGTGGTGTTGGCGTTCATTGCGGTTCCGATTATCTGCTCAGTGCACCCGCTAACATCTGCACTGGTTGTGAATAGACTACTCGTTTTTGTTATCAATGTTAACGTTCATGTGGTGGTAAAACTCCAACTTTCATTTCTTTGCCATCAGATATTGTGGTACAGCAGACGAAGGGGGCAACGAACAATAATCGTCACTCACGCCATTAGATGCAATTCTCCTCGGGCGAAAACGCCGCTAACTCTAATCCATTGATTCATTTTCCGGCGCCTCTTCGCTCTATTCTCCTTGTGATCGTTTGCAAGTTTACGCCTGCATCATCTCCCCGGCTGGTTGACCTTGTTCGCTGCAGTCCGCCATGCTAGAGGACCAAAAGCTGATAGTTTAGAGACAGTGACAGAGTAGTGACATCTCACATCTCTCGATGCACTCGGTTGTTGTAGATCACTGGACACCTTTACTTCTCCCGTTGTTTTGCTCAATGGACAGCGAGCGGTGACACCTCTTGTTGTCCCGCTTGTTGTCAGCTCACTGGCAGCAGTTGTTGTTGTTATTGTTGTTGTTTCTCACATTTACTCTGCAGTCCACAAAAAATGGGGAGCCCATGGTCTCAAAACCCGGCACATACGACGCCGCGGGGAAACAAAACAGTGACACCTCTCCATTCACCTTTTTGTTGTTAGCTTACCGGACGGCAGTGAGACCTCTTGTTCACCCGCTTGTTGTGACCTCGCCAAACACCCGTCTCTTGTCGTTAGCTTACTGGACAGCAGTGTTACATCTTGTTCCCCCGATTGTTGTCAGCTCGCTGCACAGCAGTGACACGTCTCGTTCCTCTTTTCGTGTCAATCGCTGCTGCTTCTGCTACCGCCGTACGACAGGGGCTTTGTACAATGGGGAGAGCGCGCAGGCGTCCTTCCGAGACGTGACTTGGTTCAACGACAACACCGCTGGGGTAGGCAGTGCCGGGGGCGCAGGTATGTATCATCCGCACTAACTTACGCTAAAAACTATTGGTGATGACGAGCCGTCTGTTGTTGTCATTTTTCCTGCCCCCTTTGTTTTCCCACGTGTATTGCGCTATCATAGCAATGCTGATAAAGAGACGTTTTTTCGCTTTTCTTTCATGTCTCTTTGTTTTCTTCGTGTATTTTTCACGTCTGAAAATGGTTATGGGTAAGGAGGCGTGTTTTCTTTCACATCCTCTTACTTTTTACCATAGGGAACGCCTCTATCCTCGGCACACACCCCGCCTGGCACACCACACCTTGCCGGAGGAACCCTTTACAACGACGCGACGACGAAGAACGCCGTGCACGATGCGGGACCACGATTTGCCCTCAAATCGGTCCTGTGGGAGCAATGATCAGTGCTCTCGAGGACGCGTGGTCAGTGGTCTATTTGACAGTTGAGCATGCAATACATGGGTACGCCCTCTCGCTTGCTGCCGTCCTCTCGAGGACGCGTGGTTAATGGTCTACCCGTTGATGCATGCAAAACATACGTGCCCCCGCCTCCCCCCGCCTCGCCCAATCTGCCGTGCTTTCGTTGGCAGTTTGCAATGAGGGGGTGGCTTCGTTCTCTAGCCGAACGTACTTCACCGGGAACACTGTATCCGGTGAGGGTGATACGGTAGTGAGCCCTTTCTCCTCTGCGTGTGGTTTTTACTTGTTGCCGCTACCGTTGCTTAATGGGCGAGGGTTCACTACCACAGCAGTAGGTCGCATACGGCTGGATGATGCAGGTCGTGGTAACACTTCAACCGCCGCGCTCTTTCATAAACACGAGTACTGTTTGTTGTTGAGCTACTGTAGACAGCTAATTACCAACATCAAGCAGTGAGTTCATTTGCAAGCACCCTTCACGCCTGGTCAACAACACGCGCAACATAAGTTCGTGATATCACCTTGTTATATTGTGTGTATTTTCCTTTTGAGCGTCGACCGCGCTGACCAATGACACAACACCAGTCAGTCTCGGTGCGGCTGAAAACAGAAAGAAAATGGTTCCAAGCGCCATCCGTACGTGACGACTCATCATCGCGCAGAGCACTCGGTGTACGGGAGGGGCGAGGGGGGCGCCTTGTATACCGCCGCCGGTGCGGTTACGACATTGGTCCGGAAGGCTAACTTTCGCAACAACAGGAGCGGGGGCGAGGGGGGGGCGATTTTCAGCTCGGGGATCACGACGTTACAAGGAAGCGGAGTATTCTACGGGAACATGGCGTGGGTGAGTTGGTGCCGTTCGTTATTTTTTTGTTGGAGGAAGTCTAAACACGTCAGCCGTGTGGGCTGTTGGACGGCGTGGCAAACGGACCGTGAACATGTCTCGAGATGCTGTTGTTGTCTTGGCCTTTCACCGTTGTTGATGACACGCACGGCTGTGCTGTCACGATCCTACTCTGTAGGGCATCCTTTGTAGCGTATAGGAGTACGCGTCTCGCACTTCATAGCTTGGATCGATTGTTCGTGGGCAAAAATAGGCATTTTTGTCTGTTTTCCGGGGTTGTTCCTAGCCTCATGCTGCTTATTCGCTCTTGGTTGCCTGCTGCTTAACGCTAGCATGTTTTTTCGTGCTACTTAACGCTACGTATTGTCACACCTGCTGGTCGTTGCGCTTCCTTGTTGGTGCTGTGTACTGCTACGTATCGCCTCACCTGCTGTTTCACGCTAAACATTATTTTCGGTGCTGTAATGCTGCCATACGAATAATCTTACCCGCTATTTAACGCTATATCCTGCTGTTTAATGCTACGTATGATTGTTTGTGTCCAGGGGTGGGCGTCAGGGCGAGGGGGCCACGTGTTTTCCTCGGGGATGTTCGAGGTCAAGCGGGATACATCGTTTAGATCGGGAAGAGCATCCCACGATGTGAGAAATAAACATGTTTCACTGCTGTTGATTCATACAAGGCGGTCTTTCGCATGATGACACAATCGGTGTGGCTTGGCCACAGTCATACATGTGGTCTTTTTTGACAATTTTATTCACAGTCTTGTTCACCCGCGGTATGTGTTGCTATAATTCACACGATTTTGGGTGGCGATATTCACACACGATTTTATTTCGCTATTCTGAAGCCTGATAAGTTTTGCTCTTGCAGTAGCATTTGATACGTGTTCCAACACGGCCTTGCTTGGCTATGCTCACACCTGGCATTTTCAGACTCGAGTCATCTGGCCGTTGCACACCTGTCACCCTTATGGTATTTTCAGACTAGTTTATGGACGTCCCGCTTTATCTGGCCGTTTTCACACCTTTTGTCACCCTAGGTTTCAGACTTGTTCTTGCTACTCCGGCCTCATCCAGCCGTTTCACACCTTTTGTAGCCAGCGTGGTATTTCCAGACTCGTTTTTCTATGCACATCTGGCATCATCTGGCCGTTTCACACCTGTTGTCACCCACGTGGTATTGTCAACTTCGCTCTTTCACGTCCGTCCTCATCTGGTCGTTTTGACCCCAACTCATCCATGGTATTTTCAGACTCGTCTTAGGACCTCCGGCCTCATCTGCCCGTTTTCACAACTTAAATGTCCCTTGCTTGGCCGGTTTCCCTTCGGACCCTTCGGACTCAATCTTCAGGGAGGCGCGCTGTTTGTTAGTGACATCGGTGAGGCACGTTTCGACGGAGAGCTAGCGTTTCACGATAACGAAGCGGTAAGTCCTGTGTCCCTCCCCTTTTGTAACCGCCAATTACATTGAATCAGCTTGTCGATTTGGTTTCGTTCACTACAGTAGCGGCTACGGTTTAAGAGGAGTATTTTTTTTAGAAACTTGGATCTAAGATGTTGTTGTCATGTTGTTCTGACCATGAGAAGTACATACTGTGAAGCATATTTTGTATAGTACGGTAGTAGAGAAAACCGGGTTCATGAAGGTGTTGCTGGCTTGCCCGAGCTCTCTCTTCAACCGTACCCATTGACTGTTTTTTTCTCTCCACAGCGCACGAGTCGTGCTTGCACAATGGTTGTCAACCAGCCCACCTACCAGACGAATGCAATATCTGATGGTCAACAGAAAGATGTGTATGTTTTTTTCGTCCGATGTGTGTGCTTTGTACTACGCCGCATCTCCCTCTACCTCATCTACACAAAGCTGAGCGTCACCCAACAAGCTTGTGAATGGTTCAGCGCAGACCTGGCGTTTGAACGCATGCAGGAGTTCTGTACCCTTTTCTGCTCTGCATTTCGCAACGATGATGATTTGTCATATGCATATGCATTGTAGACCTCTCTCTGTTGAAGAAGGAACTTGCATGTGAGGAACAATCGCCCGCTCACGCAGAGCGTTTCATCGTCGACTCTTGTTTGTCTGCACGCATCCTATGTTTTCATTTCCCATCATGTCGTACGATGGAGGTGATAGGTCATACACGGCCTACAATCTCTGTCGAGAAGGAAACTTGTTGATCTTGGAAAATCCACCCCGCTCGCGAAATGCACTGCATGTTGACCACTTCTTCTGCTGTTGTTTTGCTGCCCGCGGCCCTTATTTTCGTTGCCCCATCATATCATATACCGTGGTGTCTAGTACGCTCCTTGCTCCCTGTCCCACTGGAATCTTGGGCCATGTTACATCCATTGGCGCACCCACTCTTTCTCTCTCGGTCTCTGTCTCGGTCTCTGTCTCTTCTCTCTTGGTCTGTCTGTCCGTCTGTCTCTCACTCTCTCCAGGCGCGACAGTGCCACGATGTCTACGATGCCACCAGCAAGACCGTCTGCCTTTCGGTGGGATGAGAACGAAGGTCGAGTGGAAGATGCTTCTACAAGGTCGAGCCGAAGAAGTTCCTAGAAGGGTTGGTGAGCGACGTAGATCCATTCGGCGGCTCCCAACCCACGCGTCCCGTAAAAATGGTAGTTGAGCGACGCCAAGCAGCACAACGCCATCGTCAGTCACTTTGACCCTTCCACGGGACAAACAATGGAGCTACGCTCGCTTATCATGGCGAGCGAGCGAACGGTCAGGGTTGGGCCGTTCGCGAAAGAATTACGTTGGGAGGGGGGCTATCCGTTGTATCATGTTAACCCACTGCCTGCCTGCCTGAACGACCGGTGTGTCGCCCAATTTGTCTACAAAAGGCGGGCGGTATCGCCAAAAGAAAGGCAGACTCTTGGCACGTGTAGTGCGCGTTTGCCAGAAGAGGCCACGATAGTCAGATACGCGCGCCGGAGGCTGCTTACAGCAGATAAGCAAGTCGCTTGGGCGCCCGCAGCGTCGTTGCAGCATGTGGCGCGAACGGCAGCATGTATGGTGCACATGCGGTTAGTCGTTGCTCGTTCGATGATACAAAAACACTACGGCGTGAGTTGCATCCTGTATTTATTGCCGTGAGGGCGGAAAGGCGTGGCGTGTGCAAGATCCTGGATAGCATGCCGGGTGTGGGGTTTGGCTTGGCTTTGGGTCTCCTGGAGGTAGCCGTAACCAACCAACCAATCAAAAAACGCTTGGTTGTTGGCATCGTGCAAGTATCTCTTGCTAATTTAGTACCTTTTTGCCTTGTACCAAGAAGAAGGAGAGCACATTACCACGCGCGATGTCGTCGTCGTTTGGTGATATTTGTTCGTGCGTCATCTTGGCGTACCGCCGTATTCCAGCAGCGGCGTAGATCGCTGGATAAATACCGCTTCTGCTTCTCTCGCTGCACGGGCCCCTTAGTAGTGATGGACACGGGAGATTTCGCGTTGGTATTTTAATTTTTTTGTGCGATCTGTTGTTTACTTGAGAGTTTTGGGGGGCACCGCCCTGCCTGTCAATAATTTCATTCCTTGCGAACCGCCGTTATATTCTGCTGCTGCTGCTGCGGTTTGTACCACGACGGAAACGGCCATGAGGAGCAATTGTGCGTTGTACGTTTCCTGCGCTGTGCCTTGCGTGCGTGTGGTGGAACGAATGAAACACCTAGGGATATATCTGTTGCAGGTAGGCATAGCATCATTCATGTATGAACAGTCTCAGGGATCAAATCCCTCTTTTCGCTTTTTTTTTTAGTTACATTTTATTCTCCTAATTTGCAGTGAAAAAAGACTTGACATATTTTTGTCTGGTATGCGTAGCGTTTACGTTCATGTGTCATATCTTGCCTCCTTTGTCAAGTGCGCGATTGGCGGAGAAGGGTGGGCCCCTGAGAAAAGACAACCTCGTTATTGTAGAGCGAAGGCAGTGCTCGTTTGGTCAACCGGGAGCCATTACTATGATACGCGGGGTACTTTACTACATGGTGTATGCATACGTAAGTATGCCGATATTTCTTTCGACTTCTTGTAGCAGCTGAGGGGAACTCACGAAGAGTGAAGGTTGGTACGCAGTTTCCTGGATGATTGTTGTAACGTCGCAGGGTTACGTGTCGAGGGCACCCTCGAATCGATATTGGGCGTTGCATGTTGTGTAGTGATTTTCCTCACTTGGGACTGTTCTGATTAGAAAGTGGATAGCTTGTCGCAGACAGGAAGAGAGGAGGGGGGCATCATCAAGTGAGTTCAGTTTTTTTGTGGGGGCTAGTGTATGGCCAACTGCTTTACACCTACCTCGGCCCTGCCACGTTTCGACCTGGTCACTATGTAGTGGGCCTGCCTACTGGTCCTAATACTCGCGTACTCCCCCCAGTCGTTGTTGACACTGTATGCGTCCCCGCAATGAACGGGTGACTCGGGGCTGCTGCTGTAGTTGGCATGTTGGCCAATCTTGACGAAAATCGCGTTTGTTAGGGTCTTGCGTGGTGGGTGGGAGCAGCTGGGCTCAAAAAATTGGAACTTGGCTCATACTGTCCTCTCACCGCTGGTTGGTCGGGAAAGCTAATTGTTCGTGGTATTTCACCGTCGTGTACCCGCAGCGTGAACTTGTGGGGGTATCTGACCGGAGACCGTTGGCTTGCTCGTTGATGTTTGTTTGTTGGTTTGTCCGGGCGTTGCCTGAGGTACCTCCAAATTCTTGTGCCTGTTTCGGCTCTCTAGACTAATGCTTGCTCTTTATGCAAGAGAAGTGCCATATGTGACATTGCCACGGTTGCGTTGTACCTTTTTTGTCTGTATTCTCGCTATTATATATAAATAGTGCGAAGAAGAAAGTCTGTTGTGGAGCACCGCCGAGTTCATTGTCTATGGTTCTCTGGAGTCTGATGGAACGATTCTAGCTGCAGCATCCTTGTCGTGTTTTCATGTCGTCTACACGTAATCTACACGTCGACTGTAAACGTAGGCAACAGCAAGACTGCTGTACGCGATGCGTCCGTGACTCTGCGTTGGCACACCTCAACATAAAGGTGGGTACCAGGACCACGACTTATAGCACAGGCGGCATTTTTGTAGGTGTGTTGCGTCTTTGTTGACCTATTTTGTACTTGTGCTTTTGGGGGGATGGTCTCGACCGATGATGAGTCCGCTCAGCAAGTGAGCGTGCCCGTCAACACCGCGATTTTCAACATCAATATGATCACGAATGAAAAAATACCGACCAGGAGTGCGTGCGGCGTGTCGCCTCCGGCACATCGCTTCAGGCGTCTCGGGGGCTTCCCTCATGGATACCCTATGGAAACCTTTACGAAGGCATTCCATTTTTTCTTGGTTCGTTGAACAGAAAGAACACTCCTGCGTTCACGTTTCTTCTTGGATTCGTCTGATTTAGGTACGCAAACGATTCTTGATTCATGATGCCGCTTTCATTCGTGTGCGCCCGAAATCCTGACAATGCTGCAGAATCCCAAAGTCGGCAGCATTTTTTCCGAAAGTTCGGTGTGATCCTTGTGCTACAGCATTACTGTAGTACAACCCTATTCTTCCTCAGGGTGAAATAATAAACTCGCTCTGCACAACACACACACACACAAGTGGGACTGATTCCTTCCGCGGCAAGATTTTTGCATCCATCCATCCATCCATCCTTGCAACATGAAGAAAAGATACATGCTACCAAACTGTCCTGTTGAGCCTGTTACCTAAAGGGGAGATTTCGCTGTATGCTGCCTGGGAAAACGAAGAAATATCAGAGGCTTCAGCTGACGCTATGAATTCATCGTTAGTTAGTACATCTTTGACTCTTTTCTGTGGATGGAGATGGATTCGTTTTGTCATCCTTCACAGTAGACTAATATCAAAGAAGAAAAATAATGCAATCCACATGACGCTTGTTCGGCTGGTGGTTTTCGAGCAAATTCTCCGTCTCGGCTCGGTACGCATCAGAAGCGTTAAGCCAGGCCCACAACTGCCTACGCCATTGTGGAGAGAAAGCTCCAGTCCATGCCGTACTCTTGCAGCACCCACCTTTTTCTATTTCATTGCTCTGAGCACTAGACTAGTGCTACTGCTGTAGTAGTGCTCCGAGTTACAGGGCCCCAATAGCCTGCCCCTCCCTAAGAACGCGGGCTACCCTAGCCTGGCTAGCCCTTCTCCGTCGCCTCGAGCTGCGGACGTAGGTCGAGTCGATCTGCCTTAGAATTGCTCCCACCAGACGAGACGCGGCCTTGCGGGTGTCTTCGTTGTCGTGGTTCAATACCTTCCGGGCGAATCGAATTTCGTTACGTCGCGTTGTTACTCGTCCCTTCAGACGATCGCATCAAAACGCGTGGCTGCGTCGGGGGGCTATTGATGAGTAGCACGGGTCAGAGCTCTCGTTTTACTGGCTTTCAAAATGCTTGTTTCTCTGCACAAGAAAGTGAGCCATATACTGCTGGATACCTCTTATCTGATAGGAGTACATTGTAGCAGCGTGGCACAAGAAGCGGAACAACACCGCTCGAAATGTTGTATGTGTTCGGCCAACAACTACTTACTTCGACAAATATCAGTCCAACGAAATATCCCAGGAAAAGCAGAGGGTCTCGTGCTGCACCTTGGTCGCCTCCGCCAGCTTGAGCAACCTCTCGAGCACATCTCCATCCTCTTCGCCTTTAAACGCCGCTGCCATAACAACTCCCACTTGGACAGCAACACGCCCTTCCCCGGCCTCCTTCGTTCCGCCGCCAATTGATGCCCCCCCTCTCGGGCTTTCGCTGCTGATGGTGGATTGCCCAGCATGAACCTCTCCACCCAACTTCTCCATTGGGGCGTCCCGTCGTCCCTCATTCACTGGGACACCCTCGAGTCCCTGGTGTTTTTTGGCTGCGGAAGAGGCGGTCACGCCAGAAACCGGGGCTGCCGCTGTGATTGTTGACGCCGCTGGGCTCACGCTACCGGCTTGCCCCAAGGGCGACGAGGGTTTGCGTCCGGTTGCGGTAGTTGCATCGTCGACATCGTCGTCGTCAGCGAGGCTAATGAGGAGATCGCTCGTTTCATTGTCTCCCATCCCGAATACGCTTCCGCTCATCGTGCTCCCCTCCATGAAGACTCCGCCGCCGCCGCCGCCGCCGCCGCCTGTCTCATCGGCATCACCCAATTGATCGCGGGGATCATCCCCACTCCCAAGGGCAAGAGAACTGTTTCCCTCCGAGCCACCGCCGTTCCTCTTTTGGAGCGAGCTCTCTCCACTGTTCTCTGCTGGCATCGCTGAACCCACCTCCACCTCCTCGACACTCTTTCTTCGCATTCGGAATTTGCTGCCGACGACGCTGCCACCATCGCCACTGATCCCGCCAAGAAGAACCACATCTCCCTTGCCTCCGAGTTCGAGATCGCCTTGCCTGGGCAACCTCGATGGCGGCTCGACGACAGACCGCAACACCCAGCAAGCCAGGCAGCTCAGCTCGGGGTCGTTGGGCCAGCGGCGGATGGAATCTTCGGCCACTGTAGCGTGTAGGTTTAGGGAGTGGAGTTGCCCCGCGGTTGAGGCATTTTCGTGGACGATCGCGGCTAAGGCGCTAACTCCGTACCTGGTTTGCGACGAGGAAAAGCCGATAATTAATTCTGATGCTGCTGCTTTTGGTGTTTTGCCCAGCTTCTCATCGAGGGCAGGTGCAACAACCCTTTCACGATGTCGAAGTTGGACCGCACCTACCTGCGTAGCTGCGCAGAGTCGCGGTGGGCGTCCACGGCATACCCCACCGCCGCCAGCCCCCCCGCCTCCACCACAGCCTCCTGAAACCGAAACACGCTCGGGTCCGAGTCCGAGTCCCCCTCTCCGGCGAAGACGGCCAAGGCCCAGCACCCGTACTCGCAAAGTACTCTGTCTTCCTCGCAGAACCTTTGCCATTTTGTTGTGTCGTCGTTTGGTTGATGTTTTCACAGGAGGATCAGAGTGAGGAGGGTTGAACAATGTAATCACCCATGGGGGTAAGTCAGGCGAAAGGGCGGGAGAACCATGGCAGACTGTTGTTGTGTCGTTCGCATGGCGACGGCTACAGAATTGATTATTGTGGGGGGCGTAAGGGGCATCGTGGGCGGCGAAAGTATGACGAAGGGGAGGGCTAGGCGAGAGGACATTAGTTTGTCTTGTACCACGTTGTTGCTCAAGAAGTCAGTCCGGTTTGTTCCTCGAGCCTGACCCCCTCAATACATGGCCCAACTTCCGATGAGGGCACAAAGAGCTCGGACGCGGATCTACCTCACGGCTTTGTAGGGGATGAGGAATGGTGGCTTTGATGTTCTACGTTGGGTTCCGTCGACACGAGCCGCCTTCGGCTTCTTCGCCGTCTTAGTCTAGGCGTCTGGGTCGGAGAGAAACTGTCCAGCCGCCCAATGAGCCATTGCCATACACATGAGCAGTGGCAGTGGCGGCCTGCAAGCCGAATGGCTGTTCTCAAACGATATACCATGTTGTTGGAACAACCTGGTCGCATGAGGAAAAACAAACGACCTATTGCGTTAGAAGGTCATCAAGCCATGAGCAAGCAACGGACCCTGACTGACGAACAGCAGTTGTCGACTCATTGGACACAGCATCACTTCGGCGAGAGTCGCAGGGTGAGTGAGTTAAGTGACTCTACGACGCAGGGTCAGCTCTATCGAGGGCAAAATACCGTCGTAGGAGGTTCGTTCCCTCAAGCGCAAAAATCGAGAAGGCAGTGGGCGTACTCAAGGTCGATGCCCATTTGTGAATGAGAACAGTCGACTTTGCATCGAACAAATCACGGGTGGTGGCTCCACATGAGCTCAACAACCAACAGGTCAGAGTTCCGCTCGTGAGCCCAACACGGCCACCTTAGACGGTTCAGAAAGACTCCGCAAACACAGCGGAATGTCAGTCCTCATTTGAGGCACACAGACGAGGGGGAACAGAGTCACTTATGCCAAACGTATAGAAGTTCAACTCGTTGCAATGGACACATTCAGAATGGACCCCCCACGAGCTATTTACTGTAACTCATGCGAAACCTGGGAGTGCGAGGTCAATCAAACTCTTTTGAAGCAAGAGCCTCCACGAGGGCCTATTCACCACGAGCCGGTACGAAGGGCGAGCTTTGAAAGACTCACTTGTTGACAATTTGAATGAAGAGCTCGATTCCCCGGCACTCCAGAAGACGCTCCCGCGACGCCGGATCCTTGACAGAGCACAATTCATGAACGGGTGTACCCAAAAGACGTTTGCGTTGTTGATTCGCAGGAGGACACAAGACGACAGTAGGGAGCAAGCACACGCGACACCACGTCAAATACTGGGTGAGAGGCGCGTGTAGGAGGAAATAGCAAGCATGGAGGATTCAAGAGGGCGGTCAGGATACAGGCATGGGGGGAGGCCGTCTCTTGGGTCCTTGCTTCTCTTCCTGTTGCCCGGTTGCTTTGTGAACTTCGTTGACTTCCCGGTTTCGTTTCTAGTTTCAAAAACTACGACTGTACCGTGAGGATACCGCAACCAACACAGGAATGGACCGCATCGCGAAACGTACCTTTCGCATCAGCGTAGCTGCAGCCCTCAGCGCCGCTCGATGGACCTCTACGAAGCAATGCACGCCGGCCGCTCCCTCGAAGTACGCCCCTCTTCGAAGGGTCGAGCGCAGCAGCTCGGACATCTTCGTTGCGCCTCGGACTATCCCCATCCTTTCCTCGGGAGTCAAAGCGACAGCAGCGGCATGCGGCGATGGTGCTGCTACTTCGGCCTCGACGGCATCGTCGCCGCCCTTCGGCTGCAGGTCCTCCAGCGGCCTCCTACGGAGCAGGCGACAGAAGACCGCGTAGGGAGTATTCCCGATGAAAACGTGTTGTCGGGTCACCTCGTGAGTCCAACTTGCGCTGTCCGAATACCGTCTCCGGAACTACGGCTGGAAAGTTTTCTGAGTGAATCGTGCTCCACAATTTACTGCTCACACTCCTTCTCACTCCCCTCTCATGAGATTGAGTGGACGGTCCTCTGTTGACACGGTCCGCCGTTGCTCCGCTGCCTTGCGTTTTCTCGTCTTTACTATGGCGCTCACGTTTCGGAGTAACCGTCAGAAGCACATGCATGGACAGGGGTGCACACAGTATTGTGTAGGCGTTTTCTCAGCAACGCAGTCGAAACCAGAAAATATGCAAACCATTCACTTCCATGGATTGAAGCCAACGAAAACAATTTGTTACATGTCGTAACGCATCATATCGTCTCCGTTTTGGAAGCCTAACGAGAAGAAGAGTGCATGTACACGCCTTGTCACCCCACCTCTCCAAGAATCCCTCCTGCGGTTCGACCATCCACAGCACCTTGCCCTTTCCACTTTTTCCTCTCTGGGGATGCTTCTCCATCGCCCCTCCCCAGTCCGTTGACAGTGTGACTATCGTACCCATCGGAAGAACATCTACCACCTGACTGACATTGCGGTTGAGGCTACGCAGGTGTTAGGAGGCAAGCGGGGAAGCCAACCACCTTGGGTACTGGATACCAGGAGTATTGAGTTCAGAAAGCTAGCTAGTGAAAGAGATGACCAAGTCACAGCCGTGCTTCGAAGCGTCGAGTGAATCGAACAGTGACAAATACTCTACTCTTTTTTTTGCAGTCGTCAATTTATTTTCGCATGTGAGCGATGCGGTGTAGTCCCAGGGCTAGCGTTGATTCCAAGGACGCCCTGTCCAATCTTGCGCGTATACAACAACTATGTTCTGAGACGGAAATAAGTATTCTTTGTTTGTATCACCAGAACGCTCCAGGAGAGCGTCACATCACACTCCTCTGGTTGGTGAGAAGACCGCAGGTGTTTCGCGCTAAAATGTACGGAGTACGCGGCGTGCGACAAAAAGTAGAGGTCGAATTTACACTGTGGTAGTATTTGGAGGGAGTCACGTGATCTCGCGTTGCCATGACTATTTGGCGTGATCAGAAGTTGAGTTGGATTCCGGCTGCATGGTGTACAAGCGATACGATAGGAAACAGCACCAAGGAGAACAAAGGAATGCAGCAACAACCTGCATCATCTGTGATCGGACCAGTTCCATACAGCAATTTTGGTGCAGAGGTGCACATCACGTTACAACACCCCGAGGTCTTCTCACCTCATCCGGGCGACAAGCCGGCGTCTTGTACACTTTGCACTTAAACCCCTGCTTGACCTTCATCGCCCATAACTCCGCCAGCGAATCGCCTTCATGAGGGGAAACCTTAACACGTGCTGTCTACGGGGACCGCAAGGGCAGAAAAAGATTGGCAATTGCGCAACAGTCGGGGCGCAGACGAGGCGTCTCACACGGGGGAAAATGATGCCACAGAAGCGGTGTAGGAGTAAAGTTCTCTGAAACGTGACATACAAACATTCCCATCGGTGACGCGGCTTATAGAGATCTGGGTGTTCGTGCGGAATCTGTGCTGGGTTAGGGTTCGGACGGTAGCAGTACTGCGGTCAGAATAACTTTGAAAGTCGTGCTAGAGCTAAAAGTGTCGTAGTTTCTCAATCGATCGAGTATGGACTTCGTTGTACAAGCATCGCCAACATCCGAAGCCCGCTGACGCCGCTTACTGTTCCACTCTAGAGTAGGGTATTTGGCCAAACCACAAAATATTTGTCATTTATTTCGAGCCCCGTCCTTTCGCACGGCAGTCGCTTTCTTTGTTTGGCCTGTAGCCCCTAGACTAGACCTTGTCCCATTGAGAATACCGAGCTCCAGACCTTGTCTTCCCTAGTTGTCAATGACATGGGAAGCAGTTGTTGCTCGTAGTACTCTCGACAGCGCTCGAGCTCTCGCTTGGCTTCAAGCCCTTTCTCGATGCTTGGCCATGCCGGATAGCACTCCTGCTCCGTTCGTACTAGGCTTCTGAGCATGGCTGACACCTGGTGGTGGTGGGATGACAGAGGTCTCGCAACTCGTACTTGGCAAACCGGAGAGCGCCTTATTCTACTGTCCGAAGCGACCTGAAAAGGTTAGCAAAGTTGTTGTTGAAGCTCGGTCTCTCTACCATAAGCCTGGACGGCAGGAGCCGCTTGCTACGTAACGCTTGCACAAATGTGATGCTTTCCGAGTCCTGTTTGTCGTTGTTCGCCTTCGTGTCATACTGGCCTCGTTGTTTTTATTGACATGGGGTCGCAAGAACTCGGGGGCTAACGGACATCTAGCAACGCCGATAATCGAAGTGGTGGGGCGTTCAAAACGTACTTGTACCGACAGTGAAGTGGTACGTGCAACCCGGATGAACCTGCGATTTTTTACTCTCTTATACCGTGTATCCTCAGTATATCCAGGATATCGGTGCGGGCACTACAAGTCTACAGTGGACTACTGTACACCAGTCCGTGTATTGTCCAATTTTCGGCTAATATATGTATACCCGCCAACCTAGGGCCATACCTCCGTAGGTCTTGCAAAGTACAAACCACCGTCGATGAGACTGGCAGTACGTATAACTGGTGCCCCGTCCACATCGTCGTAGATCCCTTCAATATCTTCAAGCTCCAATTCGTGCTTTACGTGGTTGACGAAGGGCGCCCAAGCAGACTGAGCGTGGGCCGCATGGATACGTACAGGAATCTTGACCTGTGCCAGGGTAGAAGATGGGGGAGGAGGGCACGTACATACAGTAGCTGCAATCGCAACCATTCCGATGCCTACGAGTAGAGCGTGATAGAGTTTGAGGCCTAGACTAGACTGTTTGATAGCCTCAGCCATCTGGCGGGTGCGCCTACGGCAGCTATACTTGGCGTCCCTGTGCCCGACTGCCGCAGGTATTTTAGACTGACAATCAACAGTCGCTCGTGATTCTGTGTTGAAAACGTCGGGGATTTGTCGCACAATCCTCGGACAAACAGCATGGAGAGTTGATGGCTTAGACTAGAGCTCTTTGGAGCTCTTTACAGCTCTAGACTATGCCAGCGCCAGTGCAATTGCTTGCCTGAAGCGACCGATCTCCCTCTTTGAAAATCGTCACAGAGATATCTTCGAACAAAACTCTCTTGTGCATCTCCTGCGGAAGATTGATTCCCCGGAGTGATCGTTGTACTCAGAATCTACTCGTCCTTTACCGAGCGCGAAATACAGATGGACCCTCTACTGATGATGGCATCCGTACCCCGGCACTGTCGAGAGAGGACACGAAACGGTATTAATTCCGCCGCACCAGTCCCGCTCCCCTCCCCTCCCGCATCCCGCAGGCCAATTTGTACTGAACTCCTTTAGAGGTTCTCTCGCCTGTGCCACGGAAACCACCCCCCACACCAATTGCCTTTCACACACTGCTGTCTACCGAGCGACCGGAGCGACCGAGTCACGTGCGTCCGGTACATTCGGTGTGGGTGTCAACGAAGTCCCAGGGAAAGAATTCAGCACTGCAGCATATGGCCAACAGTCCTCAGAACTCAATCCTGCCACTACCGCTGTTTGTAGAGCAAAGAGGGACACCGGCGAGGAGGTACGACAGGGGAAGAGAGGACGAGGGCTACGACCACAACCAGCCATGAAAGTAGATGGCGATGGGGGGTACGACGTGCGAGGGAGCACCGCTACAGGCTCGGCTGGATTCGTGGCTGGAAGCAACGTGGGCGTGCTGAAGTCGGTGTCTGGCACGAGGTACCAGGCGGTGGTATCAGAAAATGCCCGTTTCTCCGAGGTAAGACTTCGCTACCAACATGCGAAAGGATTGTCCCGCATCCCCGTGCTACTGCTGTATCGCTGTACTGCTGTACTGGTATCCCGGAACCGCGCGCTACCCACATTCTTGTAAGATGTTCTCTTCTTTCCCTCTGTCGCCGGTGCACTTTGAAAGCGTATGGATATAAGTGAATAAGTTACTGGGCCACATTGTTGTGCCGTTGGCTACCTCGCTTCGATTGGGAACATGTTGGAAGCGACACCCTGCAAAGCTCGTTGTTAGTAAACTTGATCGACTTCATAAGTCTCGAGGGAAGGGATTGCTGTACCCTTCTCGCGATAAAAATATCTCAGGCAGGAACCGCANAATGGGGGGGGGGCGGGGGGGGGACTCATAGTCGTGCATGCCGTAGTAGTTAGACTATTGACCTCGCATCCCTACAAAGCCGGGACGGAGCACGCCGGGTTCTCACCGGACCAGGCTCTCACATCACCAAGCGCGAAGCGCCGTGAGATATTCGGCGAGTCGCATGAAGGGTGCGCTGCATCCTGCTAAGGGTGTTCGGCATCTTGTGCTTGCGTCCTTGCGTGCGGATGACAGTTGCGTATGACTTAATTTATTTTGTGGTGCTTTCACTTCCTGAGACAGTTGTAAGCACTGTGTAACTGCCTCGAGGGTGCTTGACCAATGAAAACAACGTGGTGCGATCATCCCCCTTGCGCGGAGTGAGGGTTCTCGACCCCGCACAACATGATCTACTCGACCACCATTATGGTTACCACCAAAAAAAACAGAATTAAAAAAAAAAAACGGTAACCTGGTTGCCGAGTTCACGAAGTAAATTGGCTTGTTTTACAACGTCGTTGCCAAGCGACGAAAGCCCAACCCCGATGGCAAACACTGGGGGGGGCGGAGAAAAAAAAACTACAAAGTGGGTGGCCCGATATAGTGCCGGTATGTGCAGAGAAAATTCACCGGCACTATATCGGCAACCCGTACTTTAGAAAATCGTGCCGATACATTGCCGGTTTGGCACTATTCATGTTTTGAATATTCCTCAATAGTGCCAACCGGCACTATTGAGGTACTCTGTTGTATTTCATGATGTGGCGCTCACGCTGTGCGGGGCCAACAGAGTACCAAAGTGGAACGAATGTAGTGAAGCTATTGTGTGGGCGGCGTGGGCAGTCTCTCTTGCGACACGTGTGGTTCATTGTTAAAAAAATAGCTTGCATGTTGCACCCTTTCCCGCCTCAGCACGCTCGTTGTACATGTTCTGCTCAGCTGAAACGTCATGTCAAACCTTCAAATCATACCGCGCTGCCATGTTCCAGAGAGATGCACCTCACAGATGCACCTCACAGGTGCCCGTTGTTCGGTGGGTGAGAAACCAACAGTGTTGGGGCTGGCCTCACACGGATGAAACCATTTCGGGAATCCTCAACAGCACCCGTCGAACGCACACAACCGAACACGTCATGCACCCGATCCCTTCCGTACAACAAACTAGTCAAGGAGGCCAGGTGTCACTCCTCGCTGCCCTCCTTCGATGTTGCAAGATCAGATTAAAAAAAAAATACAAAACACGACAGCAAGGAAGGGCGCGAGAAAAAAACATCCAGTCTGAAGCTATACCCCCTCCTCCCTCACTCCGTTGCATCAACAAACTCTCATATGTCTGACTGGGGCACTCCCTTAGCGGCATGTGGTGCTATCATAGCCATCTTCGCTTTCGATAGGTAGAACGCCGCATCTCCGTGTCCACTCTCCCGTTCGCGAGTGACGGGCATCTTGGCCTTCCGTGCTTTCTCAAGTACCTCAAGAACTATCTCGTCCACCTGCCGTCAAAAACAGAGAGTAAAATGCAGAGGTTAGTTGCGGGGGATCGAGCGACTATTTCCGAGCGTTAACAGGTTAACGGGACAACGCAACATACCGTGTCAAGCTACGTTCTGCTTGCAACAGTTTTTTCGTGTAGTGTACACTGGAGGGGGAAAAAATGCGCGCGAAAAAAAGCAAGATTGAGCGACGACGCATGTGTACTGCTGCTTTTGTACTGGTTTGACACAAAAAAGGCGTGTGCCTATACTGCTGTAGTAGTGTATCTCGGGAAAAGACAAAAGAAACAGAACAAGAAAAGAAAGAAAAAAGAAACAACAAATTAAACATTCGGGAACCACAGCGACCAAAAACAAATGACCCGCACAACAAGGCTCGGACAAAAAAAAAAACTTGGTTGAGGTCGGCCAGATTAAAAAAAAGGACCGTGAATAAAAACAGCCCGAGAAAATTGGCCGCAAAAAAAAAATGCCCGGGCAGGCACCGAATGAAGTTGGACAGCAGCGTATGTATTGCACCTCCTGAAACTCTCCTTTGCGTTCGCTTTTCTTGTCGCCGCCGCCGGCAGCAGCCGTAGTCTCAATCTTCTCCCGTTCGGCCTTCACCTTTCGGATCAACCACTCCGAGCAATTGAAGCGCTCTGCGATCTGGTGATGAGAGACTTTGGCGCTCAGCAGCTAGAGGACCTGAACCTTCTCGTTGATGTCCAGCCGCGCACGAGGACGAGAATCCTTTTTCTGATCCCCACCTTTCCCCGCCGGGCGTTTAGACGGTCCCGCCCCAGCACCCCCGGCTTCTGTCGCTTGCGCTTGCCAGTCTTGGCTTTGAGGCACGCGCCGCAGATGCGACGCATCTCGCTGTCGCCATCCACGTTTCCGCAGTTGCCGTGAACCCGCCCGCCACACCCCCCGCTGCAAACGTGACGATGAGGAGCTTGTGGCGCATGGTCCGGTTGGTGGCACAGCTCACCTTCCGCACATGGCATGGTGCGCCTCTGCGTACAGCTGTTCGGGTCTGCAGCAGCACTTGTACTCTAGTCTGCGTGTTTGCTTGTCGTCTGTGTGGGTGTGTGAACGTGTTTGAACCGGCACCATTGGGGGGTACAGTAGTGCCAAACCGGCACTATATAGGGCAACCCTCAATAGTGCCAACCGGCACTATTGAGGGCGCTGTCTGTGCACAGAAATTTTACCGGCGCTATACCGGCAACCGGCACTACTCAACCGGCACTATATCGGGCCACCCACTGTTAGCCCTGCGCCTGACCCCCCTTTTTGGTTTATGCGCGTGGTCGGGCTGTTGGTCGAAAAACCACAAATATATAGTTTTTCCGCTTTTCAGGTCGCCGGCGCCAAATCTTGTTTTGACTTGATATTAAAGAGCGAGAGAAGAACGAGAAATACTCGATGCCACAAACGAGCTGGCTCTTGCGGTTCAGTACACACCTGTGAACAGGACATATCTATGGATTCATCGGTCAGTTTTTCAACCGGCGGGTTCTAACCCATCGAACACTCTAAAAACAAGTGATTTTCGGCCCTTTTCGCCTGCTGCCACGAACGTGAGCAACTTCAACGCAAATCGCCACCGATGAAATCGTAGCTCTCCTTCTCAGCAAGGTGACGCAAAAAGCCACGCTAGAATCCACTGCGTCATCGTCGCGCAAAACGAATCCCCAGATCGGGTACTCATCGGGTACTCATGGGTACGTCTGGGAAGAAAAAATCGCCGGACTCGAGGAAAAAACGAAAGCAGTTCTCGAGACAACGAGATACGTGTCGAAAAACATGGTATGACGATGGAGGCCAGGGCGTCGCAAGCAAGGTTCGACGGGCTGGTGAGGAGGGCAGACGTCGAGGAGTTGACACGGAGCCGCGACGCCGCAACGGCGAAAGCTGACGCCGCCCGCGTACAGAAGAACAAGGCGAATGCGGCAAAGAGAAAGGCGGAAAGAGTAGCAGCAGAAGAAAAAGAAGCAGCAGCAGCAGAAAAAGTTGAAGCAAGCACGCAGCGAGAGCTACGCCAGGTAGCAGCACAAGCTGATAGTGGGCGGGGTGGTAGGCAGTCGTCTTAGGTTGGTGGGCGCGGGCGGAGGCAATGCGAGCGCGGTGGTGGCCGGAGCACCTGGGATGATGTGCGAGAGTTTTTGTTTTTTTTGTGCGTGTGTTTTTCATGCTGCTGCTGCTGCTGCTGCATTTTTTCGGTGCAATGATTTTTGTGCCACGGCACAAAGGCTGTACTGCCGGCGCTACTATAGCTCTTTCTGTCGTTGCTGCGCAGTCAGTAGCTCTGGCATACGTACTTGCTGCGCAGTACCTCTTCGGCCTCAGGCAGGCGAGGAAACGTTGCAAGCGTGGGCAGTTGCTTTTTGATGTTGTGTTGTGTCAAATCAACTTTTTTTTTTCGTGTTGAGTACAAAAATATGCCTGCCATTATCCATCAACTTCGGCGTTTCTTTCGTCATCGCCTACATTTGTGTCACGGCGCAAAGGCTGTACCGCCGGCGGTACTGCAGCTCTTTCTATCGTTACTGCGCCATCAGTAGCTCTGGCTTATACACGTGCTGCACAATACCTCTTCGACCTCGTGCAGGGGAGGAAATGTCGCGAGCGGGGGCAGTGCCTTTCGGGTGGTGTTGCGTTGTTCCAAACGACGTCTTTTTTTTCGTGTTGATTAATATACATCTGCCTTCATCCATCGCGGATTCTTTATCACATCTCATCGTCATCCTCCCCGCTCAGCTCGTCGGACAGACCACTCTCAGGCTCCGACTCCGACACAACATCGTCGATCACGCTCCTAACCTGCCACTCGGGGCCATGATTTGTGGCGCCGGTCAGCAGTGAGGTGGTCGCAGGTCTAGTTTGATCACGAGGGAGCACACGCATCAACCCCACCGCCGTGTGTTGTCCGTGTATGTGTTGTTGTTCGCGCGCATCCACGCCCGCTCAAAAAATTTCAAAAAATACAAGCCATCGCAGCACGTGTTCAGTCTGTTCGCCCTGGAATGGACGCCGCTGTCAAAATTAATCGGCTTTGATTGGCTTGGCAACGAAAAAAGAAAGAAAAAAGTCCATTCGAAAGAACCTCCGCTTGACAGAATTTGGGCTCAAAAACAGGGTCAGGCGCAGGGCTAACTGTATATGAGTGTTCTTGGTCGTTTGATGCATGGTATGTATCGAGCGCCGTTGAATTCTAGGCCGGCCATGATAGGGTTTTTTGGCCTCGCCCTCTGGTCTGATGTGACGTCCATCCTCTTCGTTTTGAAGACGAGTGCGGTCTATTGCCGAGAGGAAAGTGCGGGAGATGTGACTCCCGATTGAAGGACAAAACAAGGGACAGGACCGTTGTAGCCCCTGCTAGAGGGAGCTGGTCTGCCCCCACATGCCTAGCTCATTGTTCCAATGAGAGCAAGGCAAGAACATGCATTGCTATCCAAAGAAATGAAGCAACAAGTGAGTTTCCGCGTTCTTTGATCATTTTCCGTGGCACTGACCGCGACGGCTACTTTCAATAGGACAAAGGCCGGTCGCTTGAGCACGCAGGGCAACTAACTGTGCACGCAGTAGCCCTAGCAAGGGTTGTTCTATAAAGTCAACATGTTGGACCAAGCGCACAATCGGGGAAATTGGGGAGGGTTGGGGTCATCGATAGGGCCTGCGTACCCCCTCCCTGTTCCATGTTCTCATATTTCATTTCTCTCGAAGGCGATCCTGTACAACGCATGTTCCGTTCAGCAGTACGTGTCGACCGCGCTATGTACCCGTCTGGCCAAAAGTGAAACTAAGCCAGTCCGATACAACGGGAAAAAAAAAAGAAGAAACTACGACCAGTCTGCGGGCTTCGCCGCCGGGGGGGGGGGGGGGAAGGAAAAAANGGGGGGAGTAAGGCAAAAAATGTTGGATGTCAGGGTCTAGTCTATGGGCGTGCGTGTGTCTGTGTGCTTGTTCGATTCCGCCGCAAATTGGTATTGGCCTCGTATACCGTCGGAACAATCGGCGCAACGTCCTTCTCTCAGTCGATGCACCTACTGTACCATTCATCAGTATTCCTTGCGATAGAAGTACCATATATCTGTGCGAGGCCGTCATATTGTAGACTTGAGGACGCTGACTCGTGCCGAGTGCGAAGTATAATCGGTTCCACCAGAACAAGAACCAAAGCCGAGCTATTTCCGACCATCACGAAGGTCGGTAGGGGTTTCCCCAGCGCTTTGCATGTGTGTGATCAATTTGTGCAATCTGCGCCTTTCCCGCACGTGCGTAACTCTCGCCAAGCTCCGCTGTTCTGTGATCGACGATTGAATCGACGCATGGCGCCCCAGGTTTGGAAGCGTGGCTCAAGAGAGGTAGAGGCATAAGGGAACCGGAGGGGGTGGGGTGTACTCATGTCAACGCATGCCGTAGTCGTTTGGCCATAGACATCGCATCCCTACAACACCGGGACGGAGCGATGCGCTGGGTTCCCGCTACCTTTGATAAGGATGGGTCAGAAGCTTGTCATCATCCCTACGTTTTGCTGTACCAGAGATACGACGGAGGCGGGGGCGTGGGAGACTTGTACTCGGTAAAGCCAGCAAGGAGGTTGGCCTCAGCGGCACCACCTCGATAACAGCCTTCCGTTAACCGTCCCGTATATAAATCGTACACCATCACAGCAGGATGACTCTGGCAGCGGGGTTCAACCCTTCGAGGTAGAGCTCCTGAGCGATGTCGAAGGCGCTTCAGAGAAAAGAAGGCCGGGTCCTGAGATGGATGAAGCTTATGGAGCTTCGTCAACCTCGGAAAACGACAAGTGGATGCGGAACATCTGGGCGGTGCAAAACAGAGCCGTCGTGATGAGCTACTTCTGCGTCGGATTCGCGATTCGGTTCCTGACCACGCCGATCTCCTACTACATGGTCAACGTCATAGGTGATTGATTCCTAGACAAAGTGCCCCCCCCCCAGAGCGAGCATGCACATGATGTGAAATCCTTCGAGATTTTTTAGATGGTACCGAATAAACGAGCGGGTTTTTGTCCACGGGTTTTCATGTTTGGCGGGTCGTTCTTTCCAGGAGAGTTTTTTTTTGCGTTGCTGGTAGAGGTGGGATCGTTCCGCATGAAATGAACCTTCTCCGCTTGGCGCACCGCGAATCTCAGCTACGGCGTAGGTTAACGCAGGTGTCACCGCCAATCGGTACGTGCGTGTGTGTGTACGTGCCCTGTTGGCGGCCGTTTCTTGTGCATGCCAGCACGCCTGGCCGGCCTGGTTGGACATGCCCGCGACCGAAAACGCACCCGCGAGTCGCCTTACCCCTTGTTTGTGGCGTTTTTTTGCAGACCTGTTCTGTTCGCCTCGGCCAGACGGCGGATGAACAAACTTAACCCCTAAAGGCACTGGGCGTGGCCACCCATTAGGTAACGCCATTGGTCTCGAAGCATCCATCGATGGCGGCAAAATTTACCCCCCTCTCCTCCCCATCATACGACCCCCAGGTTCATCCTTGTAAAACGTAGCCTGGGCTGGCGAAAAACTGGCGAATATGCTCCGTCCCCGATATTGTACGGATGCGAGCAGCCAATGGTCTAGCCACCACGGCATACGTACACTCCCCCTTAACCTCCGAACCTCCGAAATCCCCTTGCTGACAGGGGCTTCGCCGGGGCAGCAGAACATCATGATGACGCTGGCCCAGCTTCCTTGGAGCTTCAAGCTGGTGTACGGGTTCATATCGGACAATTTCCCCATCAGGGGCATGCGGAGAAAGCCCTACTTCATCATGGGCTGGCTGGTGTACGTCTTGACCAATATCTACGTTGCGACGAAGGAGAGACCGAGGTGAGGGCCCGGGTGGCATCAATGTCTGCTTGTTTCAGCAGGGGTTCGAAAATTCCTGGAAAGTTATCTGGCAGCTCGTTCATTCCCAAGGCCTAGCCAGCCAGCTGTTCCCCGCGCGATTTCGTCGAAGCATTTCTCGAGGATGGTTTTCGATAGGCTTTTTAGCAGCCCTTTCGAAGATTCTCCAGAAGAATGTCGTGCAGGTACAGTTTTTCCAAGCGAGAAGGGAAGCGGCCTCTTGAAGGCAGTCGGGGTAGAAACCGTGTTCACATCGAGTACCGCACCAACCCCGACAACCCCATGTTTGGTGCTGGTTTTTCCGGCGATCGTGCAGGTCTTGGTAGGGCAAGCGATGGATTGCTGTAGAGCCCGTGGTAGGAGTTGTCCATGTCTTGTCGTTTCGGAGCGGATAGGCGTCAAGCACTATGGCAGGAGGGGTGTGCCAAGCATCGTATACCGCCGTGTCTGGGTAAGAAAGTCTTTCTGCGCCCGCCGGTTGTTCGGTCATCCCCAATCCTTGAAGAATAGAAGTACTAAAATTTCACGCACACACATTCCACTCAACATATCCCAAACCGTAACTTATGAAATGGATTTCACGTTCGTTCAACACGTGATTTTGTGAAGTTTTTCTTGTCGAGAGTACGGAGCTCTGGGTGGATGTTTCGAACGTTGCCGGGTGCGAGACGGCTGATCTTCCCCATCGTCGTCGTGCAGACTTGCATTGGTGCTGCCGGAGAAAGAACGAATGGTGCTTCGGAAGTGATCCAGCTGGGATTCGAGCCGATGCGCGTATTGTTTGTTAACAAGTCTTGCTCGCTGACTGAGTAGTCCGATGAATCATTCTTATAACATTATATACTCTCGGCTCGCAGCCTCGCAGCTGGACCGCAGTGGTAGTAGGGATCTCCGGAGCCTGACTGGAACAGCACCAGGGCTTCACGCTTGGTCCCCTACCGTAGTACTTGGCTTCGTAGCGTGGCGATAGATCGGACCTGTATATGTTGTTGATGTTTTTCACAGTAACATGATTACCGGAGGAGGGTGTGTATGGTGTGACGGAACTGGGGGAAGACCTCAAGGTTGGAAAGAGGGGTGTGGATGTAGCAGAGCCTAGGGTACTCTTTTGGACGGATGTGGTAGACAAGTCGTTCAATCTGTGGAATATCATCATATCATCATTTGCAAGGTACTGATCCCCGATACAGAGCTTCATCATGGCGTGCGAGAGTCCGCAAAAGGGTTGGAAAATAGTGACGGATTTCTCTCAGGAGAACAACGAATCTGAGAAGTCACCATTGGAGCAGGACTGGAAGAAGTTAGCGATGCGAGAGATATAAAACCCACAGGACAATATGAACGTTCATCCGTAACTATTTTTCAACCCCTTTGCGGACTCTCGCACGCCACGATCTGACTCTGTATTGCTGGATACAGCACCTTGCTCATGATGATATTTCACAGCTTGAACGACTTGTGTACCACATCAGCCCCAAAGAGTCCCCTCAGCTCTGCTACATCTACGCCCCTCTTTTCAACCTTGACGTCTTCCCCCAGTTCCAACACAACATACACACCGTCCTCCTGAAAATACGAGGTCATTTTACTGCGAAAAACATCAAACAACATACACAGTTCCTGCTCCTTCTTCACACTGCCGAGCCAAGGTTCTACGTATCTGAACCAGGGTTGACACGAAACAAACGTGCCTGAGTGGGCAAAGCCCTGGTGTCCAGCGATGGTCTCGGCTGTCGCCTTGGCCGCTTGCACCACGATGTGTGCTACGCTGTCGGGGACTGGTGTTCCTTGGCTGGAGGGTGATGGCTGGTTGCCCGTGGGCGGTGGGGAAATGTTGCCCCTGGTTGTCTCGGGTTGGGCTTGTACCCTTGTTTGAATTTCTTGCTCCATTATTTCTTCCAGCTGTGTTCCCCACCAAGCGCGGAGAGATCGGTTCCCTCCGAGCTTGCCATGATGTGTGCTGTTTTGGGAGTCTACCGACTGCGCATGAACATACAGCCCCCCAGGAAGATTCTTCCGCGCACGCGCATAAACCGAATCGATTTGGCTCTGGTGTGCGTAGTTGCTTCCTCAACAAGACGCTGAGAGAAGGCTCGGCATTTGTCCATTGCTGGCCTGCTCTTTTCGAATCTCCAAGCCGTCTGATGCGGGTGCTGGTGGTTCCGCATGTTCCTCGCTGATCGCTGCCGAACCCGCAGGATCCTCCAATCTTTATTCTGCTTCCTTCCAATCGCCTCTGCGATTACCATTGGCTGCCCTGGCTGCTCCCCCTACAAGTCTCCCTAACGCTGAATATTGGTGTCTCTTCTCTCGCGATTGGGGGGGTAGTATCCAGCTCCTGGCGGTGGGGTCGCTGATCATGTCAATGGGGTTTATGCTGTCGGACGTGACGACTGATGCCATCTTGGTTGAGCGGTCCAAGCACGAGCCTGCCGAAACCAGGGGAAGCATGCAGGCCATCGGCTACAGCGTCCGCTTCGTGGGCAGGTGTGTATTCTAGTGATTATTTTGTGTGTGTCTTTTATTTGTCATTTTCTTTTCCTTGTGTTTATGGTTGTTGTCGTTGGTGTCGTCTTGTTGTTCGTGGGTGTGGTGACGATGTCGGTGTTCTTGTTGAATTCTTGACCTCAAGTCCAGTAGTGGTGCAACCGACACAGCAGTGGACGATTCCGCCGTCACGAGCTTTCATCACGGGATTTGTTCAATCGCCATGCCCGGGGAACAATGGGATCGTGTCTCATACAATTGTAATGTGTTCTACCAGTGAGGGATAACATCGCCAAGAGACGACCTTCGGACAAGCCCTCTCTGAAGCGGAAGCCATCAATACCACCAACACCAACAGCCAACAGCCAACAGCGTCACACCACCCACAGCAACAGTAGTTGCGTCTCGCTCTAGAACGTGTTCCTCGCTGCGTCGACCTCTCCTCTATCCCTGTTGTTCTAACCCTTACGCTGGCCCTACCAAACTATACCGCTTGTCGGTGTCTCTTTCGGCTGACCGACCTCCGTGTGCCCCCCAGCCTGTTGGGAAGCACGATGGGCCTGTTGCTGTACAACAAGGACAAATGGGGGTGGGGCTTGTCCATTCAGCAGCTCTTCTTCTTGAATGCCATCTTCCCTGTGTTGTTCATGGGGCCATGGGTGTGGTCGCTTAGGGAGACGGCTGTGGTGACGGACGGCAACGTCCCCATCGAGCAGCGGCTGCGGGAGCAGGTGGGTTGACTGTTGATTATTGTTTTTTTCTTGTGGTGAGGAGGGGAGTAGCCGCGGGACGGTTCGTGAACCTGCCCTTGCGCTCCCCACCGTCGACCGCTCACACTTCAACCTTGCTTTGTACCGTATTTGACGCAAGATAACAGTCCCACGTAAACACATCACCCAGTTCCACACCCGGCAAGTTGGAGAAGCTATGTTTGTAGAACCGGTACAGTATATGTAACATATATTGTGGAAAACCCACGGTACTCCATACATCCTGGACAAAAATGGTACTTCTGTACGAGTGATGAAATGAATGCCACAATCACAGTTGAAACGTGTTGACATCTCTCGCCATCTTGTTTCGCCGCATGGTCCTTTCGCTGGAACCGTCACATCTCGTTCAAGCCCTCGTCACCATCAGCGTGCATACTTCTCCTTCCAAACTCGCTCCTCGAGCCCTTTCTTCCACCTCAAAGCTGACCCGTTTTCTCGGACCGTTCTGTGGACCGGTCCGTTGGTCGTTTCTGGCAGTGCACGGAAGTGTTCCGAGCGTTGGAGCAGAAAGCAGTGTACGGGCCGTTGGGGTTGATCTTCATTTACAACCTTTTTCAGGTAACCGTTTTCCTTTTTCTTCTACTTGTTCTTCTTCCTGCTTCTCCTGCTCGTGTGACTGTATATATTTGCCGGGGGGGTTTTATGTGCCTCGTCCCTCCTGGAAACTGGCTCTTGGGCAACAAATGCTGCAAAATCTATCTCTACACGTGTCCACACAATCATTCGCGAGGGTATGTGTGTGTGTTTTCGTCCCCTATTAGTTATGGCATAAATCACGGCTCAATGATGATGCTACGATGAAAGACGTGTGTTTGAAGACGAAATATTACAGTCGGAACTGCAATTGGAACTGCTGAAGTCACGTAACGGTTGAAGTGTTGACAATGATAATTATTGTGTCAGCAGATCAAGGAGGTGGCATCTGCTTAGCTCTTGTTGCGTTAAAAACATATAGCTTGATCCCAAGCACCGCAGGCGGGGAAAGTGTGTTGTTTCTTCCTTCTGTGTTACCCCAGCTGGTGCGTCAGAAATGCACACCGGAAGGTGTGCAGACTGTCGCCCAAACATCGTAGAATGAACGGCTGGCTTTCGCGCGGGGATCTCAGCCGGGCATCAAGATTTGGGTGCCCAAGTGCTCCTTTCGGATGGATGCGATGCTCAACTTCGACTGGTGTGCTGATTCTGTGTCCAGACGATATACTGGTTCGCTTTTTTGCCATTTTTTTCCCGATGACCTTTACCTCTCCTACCGGACAATCTGCGTTTTGGTGCAGGTGCCCAACGCTGCGTGGAGGTCATTCCTCGTCATTGGGCTGTCTTTCTCCAACTTCGAGGTAAATCTTCTTCCTCTTGTGTCTTGAGCTGCTAAACGCCCGCGGCATCTCAACTCACTCTCCGAGGTCTAAGACGTCGTAGGCTGTCCAAGACTTGGAAGCCGCTTGTGATGTATCCGAGTGATACATAATTGTTGACTCGGCACGCCCACCCTTATATGCACATATGTACAGTAGCGTGCAGGTACACGTCAATACTTGAATGGAAATTTGCAGCCATGTGAATGCCCATGGTTGTCGACATGCATCCCGTATTTTCCCTCTCTCCCACCCACGGCTCTGTACGTACAATATTTGTGCGATGCGACTAACGTGGTCTCGGCCTTCTCTTGACGTCACCGCTGCCGCATGCGGTTCTACCATAAACCTCCGTCTTTTTAGCTCGGTATTCTTGGTGTGATCGGTTCCCTGATGGCTAGCTTGGGGCTGCTGGCGTACAAAAAATGGTTCTTCCACTCAAGCTGGCGGAAGCTGTACGTTTGGACGACGTTGATCGTCTCGTTTTTCAGCGCTTTCCAGATTCTGCTCATCTTGAGGTGAGGCCTGCCTTTTCCTAGGCAAGATTCGTGTCTCGACTTCCGATGCGATGATGACGTCCGTTGTTTGCTTTATAGAGTGGTCGGACAAGTGTTTCGCTTCAGGTTCAATTTAGTTGCTCGTGTGCTTTATCTTTGTTAGCAGTTGGACTCGTAGCTCTCGCTGTACAAGTCGGTTGGGCAAGGACTGGTTGTTCCCGTGTAGGCCGCCTTTCAAGTTGTCGTGATCTTCAAGCAATGACGGTCCTGTGAAAACAACTATGTTGATGTTGTTCCTTTGTCGCGAAGAATGAACCCATATCTTATGGCAAGTGTCTATCGCAACGCGGGCACAACCTTCTTCTTAGAGTGCTTGTTTGCGGTTTTTGGTGGTTTGGGAGGCGGTTTCGACTTGCATGCCGTCTCTCGACGGCTGGATCGCATTCTTGCCGCTTATCTGATGAATCGTTCCTCCGCGAATTTTTTTTTGTTCATCTTCTGTACACGAATAAGCAACGCGTGTGTGTGAGATGGGTGATTCCCGGGCAGTATGCACGGTACTGTTGTGAAGGGAGTTCATGTGCACTTTTTTTTGTCGCTCTCCGAAACAGGCACGCGCAACTCATCTAGGCTTCTCCTCTTCACCTCTGTCTAGACAATCGTCGGTTGTTTACGTCCTCTGTTGAACGATATATGGCCGCCGCGATTCAAGTCCCCCGTCCCACCATGATAATATTGGACTGGTCCAGCGGGGTAACGCCCGCTTGGTCTGCAATGGCCCGACTTGTTCCTCCCTAGCGTTGTAGCTCCACACCAAGGCCCATGGCCTGGTGGTGAGCACCTCGCTCTCATACTGCTGAGCCCCCCTCCCGCTGACGAACCAATTCCTTGGTGCGGGCTTGGCTTCCAGGGTGAACAAGGTGTTTGGTATCGGTGACCTGGTCTTCTCCATAGGGGACGACTGCATCGCCGATTTCGTGTCGAGCATACAATTCCTTCCCGTGGTTCAGATGGTGAGCAAGAAGGGGGGACGGCCGTGACGCCAAAAGGTGTTGGGTGTGCCGGTGGTTTACGACCCACTCCCGGCCCGAATGTGCCCTTGGTTTTGTGTATCTCTTCAAGGGCCAGAGGCTAGAGGTTGACTGGCCGTGCTCGCGTTTGTTTTGGGGTACTCAGAGGCCGACGGCAATCTACGGGATCGATGAGAAGGTTCCGTGATGTTGCAAAGTATGTTTTTGTTTGCCATCGGGGTTGGGTTTTCGTCGCTTGGCAACGACGTTGTAAGACAAGCCCCCCCCTCGGTCCCCGCCCCCCCAGTGTTTACCATCGGGATTGGGTTTCCGTCGCTTGGCAACGACGTTGTAAGACAAGCCCCCCCCTCGGTCCCCGCCCCCCCAGTGTTTACCATCGGGATTGGGTTTCCGTCGCTTGGCAACGACGTTGTAAAACAAGCCAATTCACTTCGTGAACTCGGCAACCAGGTTACCGGGTTTTTTTTTCCTCTTTTTTTTGGCGGTAACCATAGTGGTGGTCGAGTTGATTACGTTGTGCGGGGTGGAGAACCCTCACTCCGCGCAAGGGGGATGATCGCACCACGTTGTGTTAAAATGGTCAAGCACCCTCGAGGCAGTTACACAGTGCTTACAACTGTCTCAGGAAGTGAAAGCACCAGGAAATAAATTAAGCCATACGCAGCTGTCATCCTCACGCAAGGAAGTGAAGCACAAGATGCCGAACATCCTTAGCAGGATGCAGCACACCCTTCATGCGACTCGCCGAATATCTCACGGCGCTTCGCGCTTGGTGATGTGAGAGCCTGGTCCGGTGAGGACCCGGCGTGCTCCGTCCCGGCTTTGTAGGGATGCGAGGTCAATGGTCTAACGACTACGGCATGCACGACTGGCTATGAGTATGAGGACACCCCGTCCCCTCCTTCTCCCCTTTGTTGCAATGCTCTTTTTACCACAGTATATTTCGATGTGCCCCGATGGTGCGGAGGGCACGACCTACGCCATTTTGACGACCATGTCGAACGTGTCCATGGCTGCGGCTTTCACCCTCGGGACCTTGTTCACCGGCATATGGGACGTGAGCAATGAGGCTTTCGGGTGAGTCAAGGCACGAACGCTGGGCGTGTCGCGTTGGTCTCGTTTGTAATCGTTTGCCTAACATCGGTGTGCTTCACGCGCGTTACACAGCTTTGTTTTTCCGTCCGTATTGGACCCGGTTCTATGGCTGGAGTCACCCCGAAAAATGGGGAAAGAAGATCGAAATGGCACAAAATCCTGTTTAACTGCATTTCTCTTGGCAGTTGCATTGCGTGCTCCCCCTCCCAAACAGCATACAATGCACATGGCGTGAACTGAACACATATCATGTAGAAGGCCGTACAATCAGGTCCACCACTGCATCACCCCTTTCCATGTGAAAGATCTCATGTCCTCTCTCTCTGTGTGACGTTGTTCATGTGGGTTCCACGTGATTACCGCGTGTTGCCTGCCTATGTTTCGTGGTCCATTTCCTTGCTTTTTCGGGCTTCCCCGGCAGCCGCGGCGACTTCACCGGTATGTGGAAGCTGACTCTCCTTACGAGCTTGATTCAGCCGCTGCCGCTGATATTGGTCAGGTGCGGCTTGAGATAACAAACAGACAACGGGTCTTGAGCTGGGCGCCCACCAAAACTGTAGTGTCCAAGGTGCCGCTGCGGTCAAGCTTTTTAACAATCCTTATGTAGCTCGAGTATTTTGTAGAGCTTGGAAGGTTTGTGTCTCCAATGTTGGACACGGACTTGCGAACGATCCCAACACTCGCGGGCCACTCACTCCCGTCAGGATCAAGCCCGAGCGGGTTGCGTTAAAAGTGCAAGTGGTCTGGCCTCTCCATAAGTCTGCAGTCCCGAGTAGCCCGTGGCCCGAAGTGCAATAAAGTTTACTTCCATGAGATGCATATTGCGAAGACGAGGGCACGCGGCGAAAAAGAGGCGACCAATCAGATTTCCCGGTTTTGGCAAACGGGGCAGCAGATGTTCCCATCATGGGCTTGAAACAACAGGTTTATTTTCTCCTGCTTTGTCGTTTTCATGTTCGAACCAGGCGACTCCCGGCAAACCAGTCGGAGCAACAGGCCCTTCAGAAGACCGGCATAAGGAACCGATGTGGAGGTTACGTGCTCCTCACGGTGCTGTTCGGGAGCCTGTTTGGGACTGTGGTGGTCTCGATCAACAGTCTCAGCTCTTGAGCGACGGAACTGGACACGCAGCCACAATAGGGCGTGTCTGTTTTCCCATACCCGGGAAGGATATGGGTTTCCCGGGCAGTGGAACTGGTTTTGCGGGGCCCCCTTTTTGACGGACGGGGGCCCTTTTGTATAACCTGGCATAGTCTAAACTTTATTTTTGTCACCATTTCGTACTTCGTATACTCTTCTACCTCTGGTCACATTTATGAGTCGTATCAATGAGCGCATGCCGGAGCCTTGCTTCGAAGAGCCAGTGCTCGTTGTGCCGGACCTACCTGTTTATGACTTGGAAGGCGTGTGTGTGGGCTTGTTGGCCTTGCCAACTAGTACCTTGTACCTACGTTGCTGTGTTTTGCGCTGGTTCACTCGAGGTATGCACAGGAGCTTGGTGAAGCTAAAGACATGCCTTTACCCCCCCCGGCCTTGTCCTACTCCCTCAGAAATGATAAACGAAGCGTGTTGTATCCAGTTGGTCTCGGAGGCTTCACTGTTCGGCCAGGAAACAAGTCGGCCGGAAAATGTTAATGTGTTCACACGTGTGTTGTCACGATGGTACTTGTGGTGCATTTGCTTGCGTTGCTAGTTTTGGCATGAAATTGGAACTCAAGAGATGATGTTATCCAATAAAGGTTTTTGCTCAGGAGTGCACGCTACGCCTGCGGTGTTTGCTTGAGTCTATGACAAAAGCCTCTCGAGACGTCGTTGTATGTGGGGGTACGATTTTAGCATAGCCATACCCCTCCCTCCCCTCGCTGTTTGTGCAGCCATTCCTGGCAAGGACGTCTGACCTGGTTTTGGAGACAAAGCCAAGACTTCGCATTTGGTGATGGATACAAACATTGGTCATGGGCTTTGTCCGCCTTCAAAAATATCTCTTTTCTCCCTGCCTCCCTTTCTCATTCTCTCTGGTGTCGTCTGATCGTTCCACCTACTCCGCATGCCGGCTACTCGCTTCGATTTGTGTGGGCCCACGAACCTGGTCACACAGGAAGCAAGACGCTGTATCTTTAGGTATTTGCCTTTTTTTTTGTTAACTTTGGAGCACAAAAGGGGGGGACAGATGCGAGGGTTGACGGACTGCGCTACAGCTATCGTCGGTACCAGTGTCCTTTGTTGGCGCCTTGCCGCCCAAGTAACCTTGGCCGCTTGCGTTTGCATGGCAATCGCCAGCCAGCTTGTGGGTTTTTCAGACCTTTCCTGAGATACTTGTACGTTCTCCTCGACATGAATGTCTAACGGGTGTATGCGAGGGTTGTTCTTCGTGACCCCGGCTTTCAACGACGATGCAGTTACCATTCTCTCCCGCTTGTGCGGGTCTGTTCCATCCACAACCTCAGCTTATATCCTTTTGTTTCTACACAATTGGTGAGTGCAGAACGGGAGCTCCCTACATCCCACTGTGGAATCGCAGCGGCAGAAAACGAAAGACACTTACGAGACGGCGTGACTGCCTGCGTCGCCTAATCAGTCTCCCCCTTGGGTGCACCATGTACTTTGTCGTCTGTCGCGCTTTCGGGTGGCATAGTACAGCATCTACAAGTTTTTTTTTTTTTTTCTCCTATCATTGGACTCTGTCGTCTGCCCCTCTGGCCCCTATCCTCCACTTCTACTAGCTAGACGACCCAACCGGGGTCACATAGGAGGGGGGGGCTGGACCCCCTCCTGCGGTTCCCGCCTGATGTATTTTTATCGCGAGAAGGGTGCAGCAATCCCTTCCCTCGCGACTTACGAAGTCGATTATGATTTACTAACAACGAGCTTTGCAAGGCGTCGCTTTCATCCTTGACCAGGATTTATTTAGTGAGAAAAAAACTCACTCTGCCGGGACTCGAACCCATGACCTGGCCCTTAGCAGGCTGCGAGGAAACCCACTGGACCACCGGGGCGACCGGATGTACAAGATGTAGAGCAGCGAAGTACGAGCGAAAATGTTGTGGACCAAGGTTGGATAGTGTAAGCGTTTTGGGTCTCGTTCGCCATTATTTCATCTTTCGCAAGACACAGAAAACCACCTACACGTGGATCTCGCATTCTTGTCCACGGAGTGATCTTGGGAGGTGCTCATTCCTCTACCCCATGACCCCAGACGCCGGGTGAACAGCACAAGCTTGGCACCATCCTTGCCGGGTGACAGCTAGTGCCAGTTTCTTCCATCTACATCGTTCGACGAGCTCCTCTAATCCTTTCGTGTCGTGCATGTGCGGTCTCTCTTGGATTATCTTCATGACCACGGTACAAATGTCTCATCGGCTTACTGCAGGAGGGGCAGGGAGAAAAGGCTTCGACAACAAGATCACGAAGGTTCGATTATAGATAGACCACAACAACAACAGCAATAACCGCCCAACTAAACGCTTCCGTCGGGTTGCCGGCGAACGCGGTACGGTGCACCGGAAACGCGGAACCCCGCCTACCGCGCTCCACTCCTTTAGCCTACACCGGCAGCGCAGGGACGGCCGCGGGGCGTCGGCCGATACCTAGCATACCCTGATCCCGATCCCGTTTGCAATAGGTCGCGTACGACGCCGAAGATGCCGTTGTAACGGAATCGCGTCTCCACGACCGCCGCCGGCTCTCTCCGCCCCATCGCCCCCCGCGGGCCAAAAAGGCAGACGTGCCGTTGTCTTGCGGTACCGTGGGAGGCATCGGTAGCTCCGCCTTTGGCCTTGTCAAAGGAGAGGGAAGCATGGCCGGAGACTTCTTGATGTGGCTGGAGATATGTGGGCATGATCCGCTCCTGGTGTTTTGGCCACTCGTTGCTCCGTTGGGGGTAAACAGACTGCTTGAAGTCGAGACACTTGCTTGGGAAGGCCGGCTTTTTCTGCTGTTGCGGTCACCACCTCTCCTTCGCCCATTTCCCGCTACGTTGGCGTTGGCGCTGCTTTGCACAAGTCGGTCTAGCGCCTCCGCTTGTCGGTTTACGACCCCCTTCATCTCCAGCAGAATCCCTCGCTTTCGCTCCAAAAGCTGCCGCTCTCTGCTGCCCGAGTTGCGACCGCCTTCCCCGCCCTTGCTCAGCAGTGGTGGAGCACTCGACCCCGCTACAGGTCCCGCTCTCCTTGAGCCAGCGTCGCTGGCGACGAACTTCCTCTTGTCTCCACCGCTGCTACTGCTGCTGCTTCGGCGGCGGCGTCGCTGTTTATGTGCGTTGGGCTTGACCGCTATTTGTTTTTCTTCGCGGACTACGTTGGTCGTGAGGCGTGTGTGCGCCTTTGCCCCATTCTGTCCCTCGATGTGTGAGTACATATATTTCATGAAACGCATCTGAGTGGAACGGGAAGGAGTGCGGCATCAACGTGAACCAACGAGGATTAAATACGATGCTTTGGTGTCCGCAACCAGTCAGACGTCGCCGAAGTAACAATGTCTTATGACATGGATGGGGGGGGGGGGGGGGNTTCTCACCGGACCAGGCTCTCACATCACCAAGCGCGAAGCGCCGTGAGATATTCGGCGAGTCGCATGAAGGGTGTGCTGCATCCTGCCAAGGGTGTTCGGCATCTTGTGTACAGATGACAGCTGCGTATGACTTAATTTATTTTGTGGTGCTTTCACTTTCAGAGACATTTGTAAGCACTGTGTAACTGCCTCGAGGGTGCTTGACCAAATGAAAACAACGTGGTGCGATCATCCCCCTTGCGCGGAGTGAGGGTTCTCGACCCCGCACAACATGTCTACTCGACCACCATTATGGCTACCGCCAAAAAAAAAACAGAAGTAAAAAAAAAAACGGTAATAACCTGGTTGCCGAGTTCACGAAGTGGATTAGCTTGTTTTACCACGTCGTTACCAATCGACGAAAGCCCAACCCCGATGGCAAACACCGAGGGGGAGGTGACATGAGAAGAAATATCCACCACCTAGTCAAATCCACGCCTGCTTGGTCTAGGAAAGTTGGGAACTTTCTTCCTGCTCACACAGCCCCACACACACGAAACAAAGTTGTTATCCCGACAAACAGAAGAAAGTAAACGGCATGCACTCCGTAGAGCCAGCTTTGTTGCACTTGAGAAAAATACCTGATCGAGAGAGATAAAGTTTGAGTCGTCTTTCGGGTCTGCCGGCTCCATGTAGGCATTCGATTTGGTCGACAAGATTCTTCTGACACCCACGGAACCCTCCACCCCACCAGTGTCAACAGCACCGGCAGCACCACCGGCGTCGCCGCCGCCTTCGGAAGGAGCATTATAGGCTCTGGAAGCCGCTGCGCAAGGATCATCACGGGCCAGGCTGGTGTTGCCCCCCTGCAAAGGTTGCTGCTCCTTGAGGAGGGCGGCTTCCACGGCATTCGCGTCTTGCACGAGCTCGGAGATGTGTGCCTGATCTTGCCGCCTCTCCGCGATGAACCTGGTGCCAGACGGATTCAAAGTTGGCATGTGAATAATCGTTCCACATATTGAAAGGACTAAACAAGGTTTCGCTGTAAAATTGCTCCTGCAGTTTAAACACGTATTGCACAAATGGAATGCATATTTCCCCCCCGGAACCAGTGGAGGTTGGCCACGATTTCGGACATTCGAAGTCGTTTCCACTCAAACAGGTACGCCCCATGTCATCAAACCCTGTCGTCTAGTAGATAAATGAAGTTGCACCATTAGATAAAAAAAGGTACACCATTAGATTAGACTTGTCAGCCCTGAGTTGTTGTCTGATGGTTTTAACATTTGGCGCCGCAGGATGCACGTACGGGTTCGAATCCCGGCTGCTCACTTTCCCAAGCACCATTGAGTTCTTTTCAGGCAGCGTCTGTCGAGGGGTCGGTCCCCAGAGATCTCTACCCACTCACCAACCCAAAATGTGATCCTGCCGGGTGTAAATGAGCTCCGAGTAGACCATATCTATCTTTCATTCGATAAAGTTACACCATTATGAGACTAGATCAGTCAGCGCTGACCAGTCTAATGGTGTAACTTTATCGAATACCGCCTCGCTTAAGTCCCTCTACCAAAACAAGCCATACAAAACAAGTTGTACAAGAACGCCCCGAAGTGTTGTGAGATGATCTCGGGGTTATACTAGTCTAATAGGTAAGCTATTCTAACAGTCAAGACCGCCCCATCCATACACTTTGGCTCAAATACGCGGCCGTCGGCATGCGTTACAAGAGGACGGTTGTTTGCACAAAATTTTGAGCCTTGATACGCTGCTTGACAAGCGAGGAAAACATCAGGTTGCAGCGAGCCCTGTTACTTGGGGAGACTCGAAGCGGGGAAGATACGTTGGTGACTTTACAGTCGGCCGGGAACAATCGCGTTCGTATCTACATCGGTAGTCTAGACTAGTCCATCCCGGAGCCCATGTAGACAAGTCGGTGCAATGCTACTATTGTATGGGTTCGACTTATTATTATATTAGTGGTTCGGGTGCGTGTGCGCCTGCTGTAGATCGTTGGTAGGCAGATATCTCGAGCACTTAACCTTTTCTGAAGGTAGGCCAGGTTTTTCTTGCTGGTGGCATGCTTTAACTTTCGTTGTCGCGCAGCCTCCTGCTTCTCGGCCTCACGGACCACCTCGAGGATATGCTCCGCGTGCTTGAGCTTCAACGCTGCGATTTGAGGCGCCATGCTGTTCTGTACATGTAGCAGATGGCGGGTCGGAAGGAAAAATGACATCACGCTTGACACCCTGTGGGGACGCTTGCGTTCTTCGGAGACACTCACACAACCTCTTGGGGGTTGGGAGCATTTTCGGGGTGTACACAACACATACATTTACGGCGAGATTGTTTACCCGCACATGGGCCCCGAACAGCAACAAACTGGGGGTTCTGTTTGGTTCGGGGGTTTCAAGCGATCTCTCCTCGGTACACTTGTAAGTATACGCGTAGACGCCCTCACACTCACACAACGGCGTTGTGTGTGACAACGCCATTTGTGCTGGAACAACTATACAGATTTTCTACACCGTAAGGTGAGGTGTATGTTCGCAATGTTCCTTAATGTCTCTGGCTTACTGATAACATGTGTGTCGTATCCTGGTCGCCAAAACTACGTCGGTGTCTCACGCGGAAGGATGATTGGTTGGATGCGTTGGATGCGTACAGATTCCAGATGTACGCTGTGTTCTTCCCGCAATTTGAACCCACAGATAATGACAGAGCTTCATATCATTTCCACTTTATGACGAGGTATTATCACGTCGAGTGTGCG